CTTTGGATTCTGTGTGTGTCTCTCTCTGCTCCTCCCCCGCGCCTGTTCTCTCTCTGTCTCTCTCTCACATAAACATGAAAAACAACTTTTTTTTTTTTTACAAATAGTTTATTGTCAAATTAGTTTCCACATAACACTCAGTGCTCAAAACAACATTTTTTTTTAATTTAACAAAAAGTCAGGGGAGGTGTTTTAGCAGAGGTGTGACATTTTATGGCTTTTTTTTTTTTTTTTTTTAAGTAATCGGGCTAGCTTCTTTTTAGACTATAAGAGGTTGAGAATGGAAGCCAGGGGAACAGTTAAGAGGCTATTGTGGTAATCCAGGTAGAAGATGATGTTGGCCTAAACCAAGATGGTGTCTGTGGAGGCGGTGGGAAGCAGTTGTATTCTAGATATATTCTGAAGGTATAGCTTGATTATAGATTGTATATGAAGTGTGAGGAACAAGTCAAAGTCAAGGATTTTGCAAGGATGGAATTGTCATTTACTGAAATAAGGTGGAGCCCACTTGGTGGGGTGGGGGAGAGGTGAAAATCAAGGTTCAGTTTTGGCTACATTGAGTCTGAGATGCCCAAGAGATGCATCCAAGTGAAGTTGTGGAGTAGGTGAAGAGATCAATGAGTCTCTCAAGTTCAAGAGAAAAAGTATTTAAAGCTATTGAACTAGATGAGATCATCTAGAGAGTAAGCAAAAAAAAAAAAAACTATTTTACAAATAGAATTAAACACTGAGGAATGAAATGAAAGTGAATGTTCACCATCTGATAGGGAATAAGTGGTGGAGTTGGAAATTAGACTGAAGACCCCTGCTTCCTTTTACAGAGCGGGTCATTGTGTCCTAATCCAAGGTGTGTGTATACTACATTGCACCTGGAAGACCTTGGTGTACTTCTCAAGGGAAAGAGCCCATCACTCACCAACTTATAAGCATGTAACCTGATGGTCTCACTAATGTGTGCTGTCTTTCTGTCTTCTATTTTACCTACTTTCTTGATCATGTCCTTTTACATTTCACTATTCTAATTGGCTTCTTCGATCTGCCATAATGATACACATCACCTTCTTTACCTATCAGGTCATTATATTTAGCTTATTTAATGTTCTAAAGATACTGAATGCCTTCACTGAGGGGGTGACGACTCGAAAAGGTGAGTCAAAAGAAAAAATAGGATAAGGAAAATTTGCAATTACATATTAACAGACTTCTAAAACATGCAGAATAAGTTTCAAATAATGGAGAGATATGTGAACATAGATGCTGAGAGATGCCTAATGCAATGGGGGCTGACACAAAACCAAGTCAGGTTATTAAGAAAGACTTCACAGAGAATGTGAATCTTATGTTTCAGGGAGAAGGGTACATTTTCCAAAGGGTAAACTTCCCTTAATAGATAGAAACAAAGGCTGGGGTTGAAAGAGGGAATTGGGAAGCAATATGGATAAATACTGCTGAAAGAAATGTTGGAAAGCCTTGAAGCAAACATTTAGGCATTCTAAACTGTTTCAAGATAATCCTGAATGGGAGCTTCTAGAAAAGCTTAGAACATGGTCAAAATGTGTCGTTTTAAGTGAACAACCCTCTTTGTCCTTAAGGGTAAAGTGTATGAAACGTGAGACAATTAGGGAAATGGAAACTGAGAAGTCCGTTCTCAGTTACAGATATATGAAAATGGCACAATATACACAGACCTTCAGCATTTTAAAAAACTAATATTCCCTCTTAAAGAATCAAAATCACAAAAACCACCTTGTTCAAATCATGGAATCAAAGAGTAAATATTTGTATCCATTAATTTTTTTTTCATTTTTAATGTTTATTTATTTTTGAGAGAGTCAGAGAATGAGCGGGGGAGGGGCAGAGAGAGAGGGAGACACAGAATCTAAAGCAGGCTCCAGGCCCTGAGCTGTCAGCACAGAGCCTGATATGGGGCTCAAACTCACGAGCCGTGAGATCATGACCTGAGCTTAAATCGTAAGTTTAACCGACTGAGCCACCCAGGCGTCCGTTGTATCCATTATTATTAAATACTTTTGCAAAGTTCATGGCATCTCAGGGGAGGCACTTCAAACACCTTGATTCTCAGCCGTCACCTCTCTGTGTTTCTGCAGTGACTGAGCTGACAGTTTGTGTTTCCTTCTGTTGAAAGAAGGAACTTAGAAGTCAAACACCTCCTTCCTCAGTGTAGACTCCCCCTCAGGAGCTGACACTAGCACCATCTATTCTGGAATCTTATTTTAGTGATTATTTATTTATTTCAGCGATGTTAACATACAGTGTTATATTAGTTTCAGGTGTGCAATATAGCGATTCAACAATTCCATATATTACTTAGTGCTCATCCAGGTAAGGGCACTCTTAGTTCCCTTCACCTCTTTCACCCATCCACCCACCTCCCCTCTGGTAACCACCTGTTTGTTCTATTAAAAGTTAAAAGTCTGTTTTTTAGTATGTCTCTTTATCCCCCGTTGATCTTTTGTCTTGTTTCTTAAATTCCACATGAGTGAAATCATATGGCTTTAATAGTTATTTAAATAAATGAAAGTCATTCACTTAAATCACAGATACAGTATAAAATCGGAATCATAATATAGATTTAAGCCTTACAATTGTGTATTTAAGAGCTGAGTTAACACCCCAGAAAAGTTTTTTTTAATTTTAAATCCAAATTAGTTAACATATAGTGTGATAATAATTTCAGGAATAGAATTTAGTGATTCATCACTTACACATAACACCTAGTGCTCATCCCAACAAGTGGCCTCCTAATGCCCCTCACTCATTTAGCCCATCCCCCGACCCACTACACCACCAGCAACCCTGTTTGTTCTCTGTATTTGAGTCTCTTATGGTTTGTTTTCCTTTCTGTTTTTATGTTATTTTTGCTTCCCTTCCCTTATGTCCATTTGCTTTGTATCTCAAATTCCAGATATGAGTGAAATCATATGATACTTATCTTTCTCTGACTTATTTTACTTGGCCTAATACACTCTAGTTCCATCCATGCTGTTATAAATGGCAAGAGTTAATTCTTTCAGATCATCAAGTAATATTACATTGTACATATGCACTACATCTTCTTTATCCATTTATCAGTCAATGGACATTTGGACTCTACATACTTTGGCTATTGTCGATAGTGCTGCTATAAACATTGGGGTGCATGTGCCCCTTTGAATCAGCACTCCTGTATCCTTTGGATAAATATCAACTAGTGCAATTGTTAGGTTGTAGTGTAGTTCTATTTTTTTTTTTTTTGAGGAATTTCCACACTGTTTTCCAGAGTGGCTGCACCAATTTGCATTCCCACCAGCAAAAGATTCCTCTTTTTCTGCATCCGCACCAACATCCGTTGATGCCTGAGTTTTTAATTTTAGTCATTCTAGCAGGTGTGAGGTGGTATCTCACTGTGGTTTTGATTTGTATATCCCTGGTGATGAGTGGTGTTGAGCATTTTTTCATGTGTCTGTAAGCCGTCTGGGTATCTTCTTTGGAAAAGTGTCTATTTATGTCTTTTGCCCATTTCTTCACTGGATTATTTGTGTTTTGGGTGCTGAGTTTCATTAAGTTCTTCATAGATTTTGGATACTAACTCTTAATCAGATATGTCATTTGCAAATATCTTCTCCCTTTCCACTGGTTGCCTTTTAGTTTTACTGATTGTTTCCTTTGCTGTGCAGAAGCTTTTTAACTTAATGAGGTCCAAATAGTTCATTTTTGCTTTTGTTTCCCTTGCCTCTGGAGACATGTCATGAAGTTTGTGCAACCAAGATCAAAGAAGTTGTTGCCTGTTTTCTTCATTAGGGTTTTAATGGCTTCCTGTCTAACATTTAGGTCTTTCATCTATTTTGAGTTTATTTTTGTATATGGTGTAAGAAAGTGATCCAAGTTCATTCCTCTGCATGTTGCAGTCCGGTTTCCCCAACATTATTTGGGGAAAATAAAGAGACTGTCTTTTTTCCATTGAATATTCTTTCCCTGTTTGTCAAAGATTCGTTGGCCATACATTTGTGAGTCCATTTCTGGGTTCTCTCTTCTGTTCCACTGTGTCTGTTGTTGTGCCAGTATCATACTGTCTTGATGATTACAGCTTTGTAATATAGCTTAAAGTCTGGAATTGTGATGCCTCCAGCTTTGGTTTTCTTTTTCAGGATTGCTTTGGCTATTTGAGGTCTTTTCTGGTTCCATACAAATTTTTGTTCCATCTCTATGAAGAATGTTGGTGTTATTTTGATAGGGACTGCTCAGAAAAGCTTTAAAGCAAGGATGAGTAGTACCAGACTAGATATGTCAAAATCTTATGGCTGATATGAATTGTCATCTTGGACTGTGGGGATAGTTGGACCCTGGATAGTTTTCCCAAAAGGTCAGGTCTTGACCTCTCAGGTGACTGTGCTGTTAGGATCTCAGCTGTTCTCTTCATCTAAAAGCCATTTCTAGGTTGCCTTCAAAACAGAGGCAGCAACTACTGGATTCTGCTCTGAGCACAAACCTTACACTACCTTTTGGCACTGCAGTGTGATCCTTCAGGGCCTCCTGCCATGAAATACTGGGGGGGGCGGGGGGGGGGCGGTGGTGATTGTGGTGGAAGCATTCAATTAAGTGATGAGCCAGTGTCGTCTCTGAGAAGGACCACAACTTCCCTTAAAACCGGTGGCCAACCTTGTGTCCAGTATAAGGTAATGAAGTATAGTAGAGAACCATGTGCTGATTATCCTTTATTCCTCCAAGATCTCAGAGATTTGTGTCGAGAAGTGCCGACAGATTTGTCTGTCCTGTTACAGAGTATAGTGAAAGCAACAAATTTAGGAGACAAAGGGACCTGACTTTGGTCTTAGCCCGGCCACCGCCAGAACTACAGCCACATTTGTGTTTTCCCGTAATGTATGGTGTGCTGTGTCCGGTAGGACTTAAGTATGAACAACGTTGGGGATTAACAGTTGACACATAAGCAGGCAGTTACTTCAAGTCAACTTTTCGGAAATCTTATTTTGCACAAATATTAACACAGGAGATGGCGACGATTCTGGGCAGCGAAACATCGTATTTCCACTTAGCGTTTGGAAAAAGCACGTAAAGCGGAAGGCTGGGTCTAACGCCCACCAGTGGGCACCGCCCCCTCTGAGCCCCACCCCTACCAGGGCCTCGCGTCCTTGCTATTGGTTCCTTTCCCTGCGCCGTCAGTTGCCGTGGAGACCAAGGCTATGGCAACCAGGAGAAGCCAAACTTGGTCCTTCCTCCCGAACCGCGGAGCGCTCCAGGACAAGGGGCTGGACTCCGCGCCGGGTTCATGGCGCTCTACGAGCTTTTCTCTCACCCTGTCGAGCGCGGTTACCGCGCGGGGCTCTGCTCCAAGGCCGCGCTCTTCTTGCTGCTGGCCGCCGTGCTCACGTACATCCCGCCGCTGCTGGTGGCCTTCCGGAGCCACGGTGAGCCTGCCCGCGGCCGCTGCGCGCACTGCTCCCCGCAGCCCGCTGTGCTGGTGCCCGCCTTCCTGACATCGCCCTCTCTATCTCTAGGGTTTTGGCTGAAGCGGAGCAGCTACGAAGAGCAGCCGACTGTGCGCTTCCAGCACCAGGTGCTGCTCGTGGCCTTGCTAGGACCCGATCCCGGCGGGTTCCTGGCCTGGAGCACGTTCCCCGCCTTCAACCGGCTCCAGGGGGATCACCTGCGCGTCCCGCTGGTATCGGTAGGTGGTTCTCCCTCGGGCCTAGAGGCCACCGGGACTGGAAGAGGGTGGCTAGGGGTGCCGGGGGGGGGGGGGGGGGGGGGGGGGGGGGGGGGAGGGTGAGCAGGCCCCGCCTGGGGAAGCCCAGCTTGGGTCTTAAGGGTCGTGAACCCACGAAAATTGTGTACACAAGCGCATTGGCCTATGTTGAATTTCCCGGGAGGTGACTCTCTTGACTCATTTGACTTCTCCAAGCAGTCCCCAACCCCAAGAAAGTTAGCCACTGCTGTCAGCATGTGTCCAACACAGAAACCCGAGGCCTGGGGAGCCTGTCTCTCGTCCCCGTCATTTCCGTGGGCCCGGCCTGATGGATGGGTGGTCGCTAAAATTACTTTATGAATCACAAAGGCCGAAAAGTGTTCTTATTAATTACCCCACTGTGTCGCTGCATTTGTGCATCGCCCCAGAGACCCGCACAAGCATGCATTTTTACGCAGACCTAACACGTGGAAGCCGAGGTGCTCATTGGTCAAGCCACATCCCCAGAAAGTGCTAGGGGCCCTGTCCTGCCGCCCTGGATTTGTAACGGTGGATGCTGCTCCATTTTGCAGCTGTCCAGGATGAAAAGGAAACATTTTACTGTCTGTAATTTAGTATTTGGTTCAGGATGGGTGTTTCCTCTGTATTCACCCCCTTTCTGCTCATTTTCTGAAAATATTTTCCTTTGGAAGTGTAAAAATTCTGTTTTTTCTTCTTCCAAAGTTGAATCTCTTTACACACACAAACATTTTTTAATCTGATTGGACGTATGAATAACAACAAAATAGGATTCAGATTGCTTTTTTCTGATTCCTTTAACTTTTTTTTCTGATTATAAAAATGCATGCTCATTGTAAAATAGTAAAGCATATATAATGACAAAATTAGAGTACATGTCTGATATATGTATACTTGTTAATTAACCTTTTTCTCTTTAAAATCTGCATAGTATTTCACGATATGGAAAAACTGTAATGGATTTATTTAACAGTTCTCTGTTGGTGGATGTTTGATGTGCTTTTACTTTCTCACTGTTAGAATTCTGCAGGGAACCAGATTTTGAGTAAATCTTGCACCTTTAAACATCAAATTGTGAGGAATTATAAACTGTTGGTTGAAATTATATCAGTAAACAGAAAACTAAGCAAGCAAATAATTATTAAATCCAGCGAAATAAGAAGTAAGGAAGAGGTGTTGTGCCCGAATCGCGAGTCCCAGAGACCTCCAAGGAGCCGGCACCGATGCCAATACAAAAGGGTCTTTATTACAAGCTCGAGCAGGGGCTCACCCGCCTGCCTACCAGTGCCCTGGCAGCAAGGTGAAGCGAAGAACAATAGCGAACAGGGTTTTTAAGGAGTAAGGGTTGGGGGTGTTACAGTATGTGTAGCATCATCACATAAGCACCAATTACAATTGTACAGCACCCATGGTAACAATTTCGACCATTCAGTATCCGTGAGGTGTTCATTACTTTTGGTGGGACCCAATCATAACTTTTGAGAATCCTTTGAAAATGACCAAAAATGACGTGAGTTCAGAGGGTCCACGTGAGGGTCAGGCAAGCGGTGAGAAATTGGCTGGTTTGTATAAAATAACTGTCTGCAGTTCCCAGCCTTGACTCAGACCATAGGAATGATCTTTGTTTAGCTGATCTGAGGGCCGTCCGAGGATGGCTTTAGCGTTGAACAATCTGAGGCTTTTCCTGGGACTGGGACTGGGGCTATGTGCAGCCCGAGGTTTCTCTTAATGGAGGCCTTAATTTCAGGCTCTTCAGAGGGAGAAAGGAAAAGGATTTACATAGTCATAATTGTGGGAACACTGAATATTGATTGACTAACCAAAATGAGAGTTAAACTCAGTTGAGGAGTGGAGGGCAGAAAACTAACCCTTCATCTCTCCTTGTGGAGAGTCCTCAGAGAATGCCCAACTCTGAGAAATCCAGAAGTGCCTGGGCCAATGCTGTTTAAAGACCTGGAGATTCATTTCTACATAATCAGGTAAATGAGATGAAAATATTTGCCATGGGGCTGGAAGTCTGCTGCGTTTTGTAACAAACATTGTTGAATTCCTTTGATTCTTCAAATGATCATGTCTTTTAAATTGATTTTAAAACATAGAACTGGAGGGGCGCCTGGGTGGCTCAATCAGTTAAGCGTCTGACCTCGACTCAGGTCATGATCTCACGGTTCATGGGTTCGAGCCCCGCGTATGCTTACTTTTCCCTCTATACCCCCTATCGTTCTCGTGTTCCACGTGCATGTGTTTACTGTCCAACAGTGGAAGCAAAAGGATTTTTTTATTCCAAACAAAAAAAATTAACTTGCTCATTTTACTTTAGATTAGTACTCCCTGTCTTTTAAGTTTTGTACAAGGTTTTTTTCTTCACCTTTGTGTATTCCTCTCTACCATGGTCCCTGGTTACTTGAGTCTAAGAAATAATTATGAAAACATAAAGTAATCATGAAAACAAGGATATAGCATTCGATTTTATTCATTTGTTCTTTTCATTTGTTCATCCACCAACTGACTGTCCCCCGAGTTGGACTGCTAGTTAGCTAGGCTATTACCTCTGTAGCCAGAAACTACTCCCTCAAGAGCACTGCCCATGTTCCCCTACTTCTAATGTATGTGTGCCCGTTTTTGATCCACAAAACCAAAACAACCTCTTATTTTTATGGTGCCCAGAACTATTAATCCTTTTTAATACTGGGTAATTTTACACTATGAAATACAAAGCCAAAGCTCTTTTTTCCTAGTCTTTCTTTTCCCTCCATTCTAGGCCAGTGTCTATAAGCAATCTATGACTATGTCATCTGTGTTCTTTCTCAGTAAATGATTTGCTTTGTTCCTAGCTGGGCTCTTGGTTTAAGAATAGTTTCCAATCATAAGGTATAAGTAAATGCGTTAGAAGGTATAGTGCAAGTACAGATCTCAACAGGAACCCCTAAAATAAACTCATTAGGAATAAGCTTAACAAAAAATGTACATGATCTATATAAATAAAGAGACTGACGAATGACACAAGAGATTAAAAAAATGGTAATGTTGGGGCGCCTGGGTGGCTCAGTCGGTTGAGCGTCCAACTTCGGCTCAGGTCATGATCACATGATTCGTGGGTTCGAGCCCCGCGTCGGGCTCTGTGCTGACGGCTAGCTCAGAGTCTGGAGCCTGCTTCAGATTCTTTATCTCCCTGTGTCTCCCTGTCTCTTCATATTCTTGGATAGGAAAATTCAACATCATAAATATATCTCTTCTCCCTTGATTAATCTATAATTTCAATGTATTCTCAATGAAAACAGGACAGTTTGGAGGGACAGACAGATATATGGAAAAAGAAGGAAAACCTCTAGGAGAAATAGAAGGGTCATACAAGGAGAATAGCTCTACCAGATATAAACTATACCTTAAAGACATAACTAGCAAAGCAATGTGGTTTCAAGAACTTACATAAAAAGTATAGAAAAGGACTCAAATATGATAGAGGTGGCATTTTAAATCAGCGACAAAAGCTGACTTATAGAATAAAATGGTGCAGGGACAAAGGGGAAGCCATCTGGAAAAAGTTAAGATGGAGCCAGGGCCCAGACTGTACACCAGAATTAAAGTCCAGATAGATAAAAATTCAATTCAAGATTTGAAATAAGGGGCTCCTGGGTGGCTCAGTTGGTTAAGCATCCAACTTCAGCTCAGGTCATGATCTCGATGAGTTGAAGCCCCGTGTCAGGCTCTGTGCCGACAGCTCAGAGCCTGGAGCCTGCTTCGGATGCTGTGTCTCCCTCTCTCTCTCTGCCCCTCCCCCACTCGCACTCTTTCTCTGTCAAAAATAAACATGAAAAAATTTTAAATATGAAATAATAAGGGTAATGAAACAAATGGTGGGTGAAAGCTTTTATATCTTGGAATAGGAAAGGTTATTTGAAGTATGACATGAAATCTAGAATCCATAAAAGAAACATTTTTGGTAAATTCATCTATAAAATTAAAAATAATTGTTTAAAACTATTGGCATGGTAATACCATAAGCACAATCAAAACACAAATGACTACTAGGAAAGTGTTTTATTATTTGCATCACTTGTCAAAAGCTCCTTTTCCTAACATAAAGTGCCTATAGATCTATAATGAAAAAACCAACCACCCGCTAGAAAAACAAGCAAAGAAGGTAAACAGTTCAGAGAAAAGGAAACACATTTGACTCTTAAATATATGAAATCACGAGAATGATTGGAGAAATGCAAAGAATATATTGAGTGCCATTTTTTAATCTATCAAATAAGCAAAAATTGAAGTTGACAACACCATGGTCAAGATGTAGGGAAACGTGTGAGCATTCCTGTATGTCACTGATGGGAATGTAGATTGGAACAACTTCTTTGAAGGAATACACGTCCATATTTATCAGAATTACAGATGTACAGGCCTGCTTCATGCCTGCTTCCACTTCAAGTGAGGTACCCTAAGGTTTGTGCACACATTAGACATGAAGACATGACGTATATAGAAAGTTCCCTATTGCAGCATTGTTTGTAATAACGTAAACAACCCGTGTAGCAAAGAAGACTCAGCAAAGAAATTGTGGCACACCTGCCCAGTGGAGAGTCGCATAGCTTTTTTTGTTTTTAAGTTTATTTATTTTGAGTGAGAGAGAGTTCGTGTGCAAGTGGGGGAAGGGCAGAGAGAGAATCCCAAGCAGACTCCGTCCTGGGCTCAATCTCATGAACCATGAGATCCTGACCTGAGCCAAAATCAAGAGTCTGTCTTAACCAACTGAGCCACCCATGTGCCTGGCATAGGTTTTTTTTTTTTTTTTTTTTTTTTAAAATTTTTATTACAGAGGGAGGGAGGGAGAGAGTACGTGCATGTACACTCACAGGTTGGGGAGGGACAGAGAAAGAGGGAGAAAGAGAATCCCAAGCAAGCTCTGCGCTGAAGTGTGTTTGATGCGGGGCTCAAACCGACAACCTGTGAGATCATGGCCTGAG